TCTGAATCAGCAGTGGTGACCCTATGCTGTGACAGTCAGGACGGAGGTTGTCTGTCTGAATCAGCAGTGGTGACCCTATGCTGTGACAGTCAGGATGGAGGTTATCAGTGGGGGTTCTGGGATGTGCTGCTGTGTCTCCACCTGGGTGCTGACTACACAGGTATGTTCTGTCTCTGGGATGCAGCGAGCTGGACACCTGCCACTGGGGCCCTTCCCTGTACACATGCTGCACTTCAAAAGAGGTCAGAACTCACACCCCCTCTTCTACACGCTTCTTTTTTTCTCTAAGTTTAAAGGAATGTTTTAGAAATTAGGGTTTCTTTTTTGAAAACTAATCCAGGAATTCCCTTGGCCAGGGGCGGTGGCTCACGTATGTAATCCCAGGACTTTGGGAGGCTGAGGGGGTCGGATTACTTCAGGTCAGGAGTTCAAGACCAGCCTGGCCAACATGGTGAAACCTTGTCTATACTAAAAATACAAAAATTAGCTGGGCATGGTGGTGGGCGCCTGTAATTCCAGCTGCTCAGGAGGCTGCGGCAGGAGAATCGCTTGAACCTGGGAAGCGGAAGTCACAGTGAGCCATGATCGCTGTGCTCTAGCCTGAGCAACAGAGGGAGACTGTCTCAAAAAAAAAAAAAAAAAAAAAAAAAAAATAGTTGTGTTTGGATAAAATTAGAGGCACTTTTCATTTTTTTATACTTTCCTACTTTCAAATTATGGACGCATATAGTCTCAAAGAAAACACGTAATTCAAACAACTTCGGGTAATACGTAAAAAAGCCTTGGGCTACTTAGGATTACACTTTTTTTTCCTTTTTTTTGTTTGAGTCAGAGTCTTACACTGTTGCCAGGCTTGAGTGCAATGGCACGATCTTGGCTCACTGCAACCTCCGCCTACCAGGTTCAAGCAGTTCTTGTGCCTCAGTCTCCCAAGCAGTTGGGATTACAGGCGTGTGCCACCATGTCCGGCTAATTTTTGGGGTTTTTTGGGTTTTTTTGAGATGGAGTCTCACTCTGTCACCTAGACTGGAGTGTAGAGGCGCAATCTCGACTCACTGTAACCTCCGCCTCCCGGGTTCAAGGGATTCTCATCCCTCAGCTTCCCGAGTAGCCAAGACTACCTGCACACGCCATCACGCCTGGCTAATTTTTTGTGTTTTTTAGTAGAGACAGGGTTTCACCATGTTGGCTAGGCTGGTCTTGAACTCCTGACTTCAGGTGATCCACCCACCTCAGCCTCCCAAAGTGCTGGGATTACAGGCATGAGCCACCATGCCTGGCAGGATGATACTTTTAAAGACATCTTTGAAAAGCCAGTTTCCTGACTGGAGATCAAGGCAGCCCTCTGGACACTCTCCTCTGGGGCTCCGCATTAGCTGTGTCCGTCTCACCACCAAGGACTTGGTGGAGGCCAAGGGAGCCCCCACCTAGAGCCCACAGGTCCCCTCCCAGACACTAGCTCACCTCTGTGCAGTATGGGGGCACATTGAGGACAAAAAGAGTCCTCTTCTGAGGCCAGGTGGACTTGGTGCCTTGTCGAACGCCGTGTGCTCTCACATAGAGGTAGTGAGAAGCCTGCTGCTTTTCGGAGAACTTGATTGGAATAGCTGGAAAGGAAATGGGAGGGGAGGGATGGCCAGACTACCCTGAGCTGAGGTCAGCAAGACATTCACACAACTTCCTTTCTCCACATCCCTGTCTAGTCCTATCTGCTCATCAATCCATCCATCCCTTCACCAACCCCCGACCCTACCCTTTGGCAAAGCCTGTGCGGGCTCTAAGAGTCTGCCCAGGAGGGCCTCCCAAGGTGGTGCAGGAAAAGAGAAGATAAATGGGCAATGATTACAGATGGGGGTGCAACGAAAGGGAAGCTCGAACCCTGCGGCTCTTGGAGTGAACACCAAAATCCTAACCGTGGCTGGAAGCTCCGTGAGACCCTGCCTGCCACTATGGCCTCTTCTCGTACCATCTTCCCCCACCACCTTGGATTCTCCCTGTTCCCCTGGGTACACCAGGGCCTCACACACATTGGCCTCTCTACCTGGTGCATCACCCTCTTCCCTCCTGCTAACCTTCAGGTTTAGCTCAAACCTCGCTTCCTCAAGAGAGCCTTAGCGTCACCCCCAGCCCCTCCTGCCAGGTCAGATCCCACTGCCTGTGCCTTCACAGCTTCTCTTAACAGTCTGTAGGCTATACTGATGAGATTCTTTGGTTAATCGCTGGCACACCCATGACTGTAATCTCATAAAGCTAGGAACTGCTTCTATTTTTCTCACACCTCCGTCAGACTACCGGTTGGCATAGAGCTGCGGTCCCTGAACTCAGGAAGCTCAGTTGCAATAACGGAGAAGACAATTACCAAGTAAGCATACAGCAAGCTTGTATCAATTATGAAAGAAACATCACAGGGTCATGGGGTGGCAGAGGTCTTCTTTCCATAGGCTCTCAGGGATGGCCTCTTTGAGGAAGCAACATTAAAGCTCAGACCAGAAACGCCAATAAGCAACAAATTGGCACAGCACGTGCAAAAACCCAGAGGGGGAAAAAGCATGTTGCCTCAGATGAACAGAAAGAGCTTTAGGTCAGCACCAGTCAGACCATGTGGCCCACACAGGTTAAGAAGTCTGCTTTTTGTTTTAGAAGCGACTTGATAAAGCTACTGGAAGGAATGCAGTGGGTGTGGGGCCTATCGTGGGCGTGTGAGACATGCTCTAACTTAAATGGCCTTAAAAAGAACATTCTGGTAGGTGGGTGGAGAACAGAAGCAGGGGCAAGAGAAAGAGGGCAACCAAGTAGGAGGGCCCGTAACAGCCCAGTAAGAACTGATGGGGGCTGGACTAGAAGCAGAGGCGATGAGAAGGGGATGGGCTCACCTGGACGAGCGAATGTGGACGGAAATGGGTTTGCCCTGGGTGAGAGGTGTACAGTGGTGGGCTCACCCAAGGGAAGCGTGGACCAAGACAGGCTCGCCCCGAGAGAGTGGGCAGGCAGAAGTGCGCCGCGTGGGTCCTCGGGACTCCGAAGCTGGGGCCAGAGGCCGCCGGAGCTCACACCCAACCGTGCGGCCGCTCCTGGGG